AAATATATATCAGAAGCACTAGACCAAATATAGTAGCAATATCCAATGCATGGACGAATGGTAGACTTATAAATAGGTAAGATAGATTCAGGGGAGGGAAAATATCTACCACGACACAACGAACCAGCAGCAGACCTAGCAATTGATTCAATATAACCTTTTCACTTCATGTCAGCGGAAAATGTTAACCCCAGCGCAGTGAATTATTTTATTTGGAGGTTAGCATCAGCCACACTGGTGGAAGGCAAACACGTTCTGTGTTGCTGAGATTTTCTTCTTTATATATAATGAACTTTTTAATATTCGGTGTCATATAGGAGGATAGATATGACATAGCAGTTCAATACATTTTTTTGTACTCCTGGGTATGACGATGAACTACATCTGGCAGCAAAGCTTTCTGATCGGAAGACTGGAGGTTTGCAGGAGCGTAGAATCACCTGTTAATTGTTGTTGTTCTCAGGTCCACTTTGACTCGTGGTGGTAGCACCTGTTCGGGTCACAGCTGTAGGCAAATAGTGAACACCCCAATCAAAACACTATGAAAGTACAAAAATCTTTTGTACTAAAAATACCAGCAATACAGTTTTTTTTATATAAAAAGTGACCAATAATATATTTTTGAAGCAAAATAACCACCGGATACATTTTATCGTTAGTTGAAGGAATACAATTGGCCTCAAAATATATTATAATTGAAGCCATAAAATTTGTTCTGAATATTTAGATTCCGTCATTAAATAACCCAATGAGGTTGATTTATTTCTAAACAAAACCAACCGACCAACATGGAAGAACTCTTTCATGACATTAATCCGTATAATACCCGACAATTTCTTAAGTCAAACTGTATTCCAAAATATAACTTCATCAAAACTATAGTTGGTTGATTTTGTTTAGCGGCATAGCAAAACCTCTATGGGTTATTCAATTTCTAAATGTAAATATTGTGAATGCAATTGTATGCCTTTAACTACAGATAAAATTTATTGTTGGTCATTTTACTATAAATCGTTATTTTTATAGAAAAAAGTATTACTGGTATTTTTACTATAAAATGCATTTTATTATTTTCATAGTATTTTGTTTTGTTAGGGGGTTCACTAATTGTCTATAACTGGGACCCTAACAGGTGCTACCACCCCGGATCAGTGGGAACCTGGGAACAACAGCAATTAAGAGGTGGTTCCACGCCAAATGCTATTTGGATAGGCGTGAATCTGTTTCTTCACCACCCAGCTGGAGGTTAATTAGCGGAGTAGATTAGGTTCTCTAACCTTGTGTGGCAGGCAGTGTAATAATCTTCTCGAAGATGACTTGAAGCAGAAGAAATGTGGTTCTACAGAAATATGCTGAGAATACCATGGACCGAACATGTGAAAAACGACAAAGTGACACTAGTGACCCCCCCAAAAAAAAAACAAAAAAAAACACACCATGAAGTATAAAAGATATCTTAGTAAAATACCAACAATACATTTTTAAAGCAAAGTAACCAGCGATACATTTTATCTTTAGTTGAAGGAATTCAATTGAGCTCAAAATCTTACTTATTATAAAACGCAGATTGTGTGTGTGTCTGTACGTTTATATATTGGATCGGATTTCCTACATTGTTCAACAGATTTCAACAAAACTTCACAGGACTACGTAAAATTACCTTGCAGTGGTTCTGACAGCGCCAAAAATTGGGAAAAACGCAATTGTTTTTTCATTAAATCAATTTGAAAACACTTAAAACACGATTCTGTCGCCAGAATGAAAGGGGGACAACTCATATCGAATTATACTTATTATAAAACCCAGGTTGTTTGTGTGTGTATGTGTTCGTTTATATATGGGATCGGATTTCCAACATTTTTCAACCGGTTTCAACAAAACTTCACTTTTTGGGGGCAGGTAGTGTTTTTTATTGTCTTGCACACCTTTTTCTTTATTTTTACATTCAGAATGCTTTAAAAATTCCATTTACAAGACAATTGTTTATAATAAAATTCTATTCAATCGATAGACTCATAACGATTGAAAACAATGTTTTTGTTTGAGTTTGGGTTTGACCAAATCGTAAAAAAAAAAACAAAAAAGCTAATTAAGACATGCGTGTCCGTCAACCTTAAACAATAATCTTTGTCAATTTTATTTTTCAGTCTTTATGATGGTCGATACTTGATCTATCTCTGAACTGTTACATCCCCGGGCAACGCCTGGCTCTACTGCTAGTATATTATAATTGAAGCTATAAAATTGTGTTCAGAATATTTAGATCCCGGCATTAAATAACCCATTGAGGTTGATTTATCGCTAAACGTATCCGAGCAACCAACACCAAAAAAAAAACTTTCATGACATTAATCCATATAATATCCTACAATTTTTATTTATTCAAACTGTATTCCAAAATATAACTTCAACAAAACTACAACTTGAAGCACACATATCACTGCATCTAGTAATTATGTTCACACAAACATGGATATCTAAACATTTGGCAACAATGCCTTTGATCGGGTGACTGGAGGTTTTGAAGAGCGTGTAACCACTTCTTAATAGTTATTGTTCCCAAATCCGCACTAACCCAGGGTGGTAGCACTTGTTAGGGTCACAACTATAGGCAAAATGTGAAACCCCACTAAAAAAAGTCCGTATGAAATATAAAAATACATTATAGTAAAAATATCAGCAATACATTTTTATATTAAAAAGGACCAACAATATATATTTATAGTAATATGGCCAACAAAACATTTATAGTAAAATAACCTACATTATATTTTTAAAGTAAAATAACAAGTGATATATTTTATTTTATCTGTAGTTGAAGGAATATAATTGGGCTCAAAATAGATTATAGTTGAAGCCATAACATTGTGTTCAGATTATTTAGATTTCGGTGTAGAGGTGTTGAGATGGCGCTAAACAAAACTAACCAACCTACTTTTCTTTGTTTTCTATTTCTTATTAATTTGCTTAGTTTCTGGCTAAATTCTTTCGTCGATACGATGTGCCTTCGTATCTTTGCGACACGTTTTCAGTCATCTATTATTACACTACATCGCTACA